ACGACTCTCGCAGCAGTGGGAGCAGTTGAGCAGGGACAGTGTGAACACGAAGGCCAAATATGCTGTCGTTTCCTGTTTTCCCTTTAGATTTTTCTCCAGATTTTTTTTTCGCTTGAGTTTCTTCTCGAAACTTCCCTGGTTTTTCTGCTGTTTCATTGAGCGTGTGCAGAGCATGTACGTGAAAAGAGGGATTGAACAGATTCACCTTTTCTCAAGTTCACATCGGTGGCGGTGCCAGGTTGAGTTGTGGGAGTTTATTTGACACGCCACAGCGCTGGGGAGTTCTCGGGTTTCGGCTGGTGGACGCATCAGGCCGCGCTGTGTAACGCACCTGTCGCCGTCAGTTAAAGTGCAGGGAGCGTGACGGCCGCGGTTGGGCAAGAGAGGGGGGGTTACTTTGAGGGGTTCTGTTGAGGGGCAGCGTTACTTCCGGTGGTCCTTCAAATGAACTCACTGTTGGAAGTGGTTTTGTTTGTTAGAGCGAAGAGAAGATTTGGTTTTGCAGGGTCCATGTGGAGATCCATGGTCGTGAGGATGGGTGGGGCCGGGAGAGGGCAGAGTCAGGTTCCCACTCTACACCCCACCCTCTCTTATCGACCTCCTGCCAGAGGCCAGTACCCTATACATAGTACTGATGCTGCTCTTTAGCTGTCTAGCAGATGGTCGCACTGCTGAGCGAGGATCACTTCACCTCAGATTCCCTGGCTCGGGACCAAGTCAGCACCCCAAAGTTCAAAAGAAAGTGTCTTTGAGTGTGTGCGTCGACCGTGGACGTACACACACAGATGATTTGTTGTAGATTTCGAGCTCTGATCTCAGATCTCCTCTCCAGAGATTAGATCCAAACCAGCGATTTATTTGCGATGTTGGCGTTGTCGCTGCTCCTGCTCTTTCTCCCGTTGCCTCACTCCGCTCAGATGACTGGATGGCATCTGGTCCCTGTCATGTTTTTATCCCCGGTGCAACTCTGACCACTTCTGGTTCTGAGGAAGCAGTGAAATAAATCAGAACTAAGTAGATTTGACCTTTTCAGTATCGATGCATACTTTAAACCTCGATATGCTTGAACTCAGCCGACAGTTTACGAGGTACAACGAGGAAGAACGGAAGTGATTTAAGGCAACTCATAAATCAGACCTCCATGAACGCCATCGTGTTTGGTCGTTGCCTCGACTTTTTTTTAGTGTGTTGATCGTTGAGGTAACAGCAGTTTGGGGTCGAGGATACTGGATACGTATTCACGACCAACCACATACAAACAAGTCGTCATATGGATCATATCACACTTCTGGTCAGGGTTCTTTTAAAGTATGTAGTGTTTCCTAAAAGTAAAACAAAACATTAAACGTTATATGCTGGCACAGAGGCATTATTCAATCACAGCAACATCACAGTAGAAGAATGTTTTATTTTACATTCTGTAGGGCTTTTAAAACCAAATATACTGCTTTGCTACCAGCTGTTGCTTACCGAAAATGTATTGATGCCTTTATGCCTGCACGAAAAAGCAGTAAAACAGCTTCTGGCCAAATTCACAAGAAAAAACATTGAAACGTAATAGAACTTGTCCACCTGAAATATATCATTTTTAGTGTCCTCTGATAATATCCTCTGATCCGGTGTCTCCTGGTGTGAATGAGAACCAGGATGTGAGCAGGCACAGAGGCGTTGATTGTTGTTGATTGACTTTTTAAACATAAAGTTTTAAAGTCATACTCTTTCACATCGGAGGTAAAGTTAGCTAACTTGCTAACAGCGTATGAATCCACCGGCCTCACTGTTCTTTTTAATGATCAGAGAAGATTTGATGCTGCTGTAGTGATGGTAAATCTTGTAGTAACCATTTCAGACAGTCCACTTTAAATCCTGAACTATTGCAGCTCCTCAAGCACATTATCAAACTGGAGCTCAGTAGCTGCAGAACAACGCTACAATATGCAGGAGGTGCTTCAGGGTGTCTGCAGAGTGGAACAAGTGTCTGGTCTCTGCCTTTAACAAATGCTGAACATTACAGCCGTCATAAATGCAAGGCAATAAACAAGGATGATGGTGTGCATCACCAAGCAGTGTTTTATGCCCACGGAGGGTCATAAGTTCAGGTTAATTGCTTTTTAGAGCAACTGTTCTGCCAAATAAACACATTTTGTGAGACTCACCTAAGAGACAGCGCTCGTGTCCTAACGCAGCTCTGGTTTGGTGGCTGTCATGAAGACACAGCAGCAGAAACACGCCGTGAAGGACGCAAATACGTTTTCTCCGAGCAAATGTTGCTCCGTGTCATAACAAGAGCCGCAGCGTCAGGATGGTGTGAGATGAATGCTTGTTCTGCTTGTTGTTTTGTCCTTTTGAACCATAAATTGAGTCGTCATTTTCTGTGTAAACCTCCTCCTGGTGGCAGTAAGATTGATTCAGTGACAGCAAGGCTTATTCTGGGGCCTATAAAACCTGGATGGCGTCATTTGTTATTGGCTGTTACCCAGTCAAATCTGTTGGAAGATGTATTGGTCGGCCAGCGAGTTGTACGTCACACCAGAAAAATACGACTTTGTCCTTTAATTACCCCTGAACCAAGATGGACATGTCAGAATAAATAAACAAAGAACTTGGGTTCACCTCAGTGAGGTGCAGAGTTGCATTGTGGGTCATTTAAAGCCCACTTGTTTGTTGTACCACCTGAACTCCACCACACTGTCCGTCCTGAACCTCATCACATCCAATCAAAGTGTTCCAGTCAGACTGGCCATGATTTACAGCCTCTTTGATCTGAACGTTATTGATCTGTCCCAGATATTTGAGAATATCATTCTCTCACAGGAGCAGCTTTTAATTAACTTCTGTATTATTTAGCTCTTTGTTAATTCACCAAATGAGACCTGGAGCCCACTTTGTTCATTTGTTGCAAAGGAATTTATTGCATTTCTTAATTAGAAGATTTTTTTTTCTTTTACATTTAGGTAAAACACAGTGGACGTTAACTCACTTTTAATTAGTGTTTGACTAAAAGTTACCTCTAACACCACGTTCACGGCTTAATGGCTAAAGTTTAGCAGAAAGTAGCTTGACATTGATGAGAGAGGTCATGTAGCCTCAGCTCAAAGTTCACATCAACACACAGTTCATGTAGCCTCAGCTCAAAGTTCACATTGTTAGCTATTCCAAAAAGTGTTAAAAAGAAGCTAACGTGTGAGTTTGTGGTTACCTTAGCAAGAAAGGGTGGAGCAGACAAAAAACTAAAAAATTAAACCTAAATAAGAAAATACTTTATATGTAGGTATTGGTCAGCAGACAAAACTTTACCCAAAATACTGCAAAATAACTAAAGCCAGGATTTGAGCTTGCTTAAGATTAACTAAATCAAACTGTAGTTGCACAGAAATAGGTCAAATATTCCCAAAGAGTGAAGAAAAATAATTGGAAATCAACTATTTATGTAATAATAATGCTAATGATAATCCTTATTTTTCAACAAAGTCGGCCTAAAAAGTATTTAAAAAAAACACGCAAAAATATATTTCACAGGGATATTTAACGCCAGTGGTGAAAAAAGTTAATTTTCCTGCACTTTGGTAACACCTTTTTTTTTGTTATATTTCAAAAGAGCAGCTTCACGTTGCCTGGATAATTAATTTAAATCGTGCCACTGTTGCAGAAAATAGACAAAGATGGAAACAGAGAGCGAGGATGGAATTAGAATTCAAGTGCAAACACAAGAACTTCAAAAGCCATGAACAACACAGTGACTTCTTTGTTCCCGGCGGTATCTGTTAGATCTTTGACAGCCTTAAAAAGGAGAGAAGAAAAGGAGAAAAGTTTTCATTTCCAGACTTTCTTAGACGTAGAAGAAGACACTAACGACGTCCAAACGCCCCCAGACCCCTGTGACGAAGTCTTTGGTTTCGTACCAGAGGGTTTTTTTTGTGTGTGTTTTTGAAATACGGCGCCGGTCTGTTACCTGGCCTCCTGACGCCGTGGATGCTCGACTTCAGCTTCTGTCTACAGCCATCGAATTAATGCTGCTGTGAAGGAGGCGAGAGCCAGAACCATGGCAACCATCAGCTCAGATTAGTGTGGGACGGGAGCTGGCAGGAGACATGCACACAATACAGAAACAATCTGCACACACACACACACCCACACACAAATCGATATCAGCGTGCGAGTGTTTGTGTGTGTGCTGCCAAATGGAGCCTGGTCCTCTCCGTTCTGACACACACAGATGTTCATTTGTGGTCTGCACAGACTGAACGGACGGCCGTCTGTGGAACAGGTTCAGCACTGACTTCACTGCCGTAATGATCTGCTGTATGGATTTCTTGAACTGTTTTCTTCTTCACTGATGAAGTAGCTGTTACCACGGCGTTCATGCATAATTGACTGTCTCCAAACAAGAGCTTTCTTTTATTTACATTGTTGAGATAAAGTGCTCAACATTAGATACCAAATCATATATTTATGTCGGCATCATTTCTTTAATAAATAATAATGTTCTTAATATGGATTTTTGTTTTTGTTAGTCTGGTGATAATATTAAGACTAAAGCGACACCTTAGATGTTTCTCAACTACAGGATCAATAAAATTCAAATTTTTTGTGCTACGGTATCGTCATGCTAATGAAAGCTAACAGGCCAGTTAAAGCTTCAGCCAAAGCTGAGTTCAGCTGATGTTGGCCCAGTTGAGTGTTCTCCCTGTGGGTTCAGTTTCCTCCCACAGTTCAAAAACATGCAGCAATATGTTAATTCATGATTGACCTGAGGTGTGAATGTGAGTGTGAATAGATGTTTGTGTTGAACTAGTAAAACATCCAGGGTTCCTCCCTCTACCATGTTAGCTTCTGGTATTTAGGTCCAGCTCTAATCCAAAAAGGATTGGGTGATGGAATGAATAAATGAATGAATGAACTGATG